GGGGGCAAGGGGCCACCGACTCCACCATGAGCTCCGTTGATGCGTTTAAAATTGCTACTTCACTAATTTTAATAAATTCAAACTTCTTCTGCATGCTTCTGAACTTATGATATACTGGGTCTTATCTTGCATATCAGAATATGTTGCTTTCATTACCACAAGTAGATTTTTAATTTTTTTTTTGTGCCAATTCTGATATATTGCCTTGGTCAAACACTGGGGCTAAAAGAAACAATGAGAAAGGTGGCATTATCACTTTCCAGTACTATCTGTTTATATGGCTCATTCTTCATGAATACTGAAAAGGCCTCCCCATTAAGTTGAAATTCCAAAAACTTAATTCAGATTAATTTCATCAGTGTAAAGGTATTCTCTTAAAAACAGCGGGATGAAGTCTTCTGTAGGACAGAAAAAGTGCAGGCAACTGGTGGCTACACTCCACCATATTTATTATACATGTTCACCTCTAAATACTTGATAATCTGTCATTTTCTGGGAAAACTTAGTTTACCTTACTATTCTATCTTATTGGTACTAAGATTGTGATACAGGCAGTCCTCAACTTACAACGTTTCAAGTTGCAGCGTTTTGTACTTACAACATTTATAAATTGACACCCCATTTCAACTTTCTGACGTCAGTTTCAACTTTACAATGCTTGATCTGATGCCAAGCCACGCCAGCAAACAACTTCGCTGCATCTCCCATCTCCCTGGAGAACATCTGTCCAAAACTTCCTTGGATGCTTTCTTTAGGAAAGCAGACAAGACTCCAGAGAAACCTGCAGCCAAGACTCCTGAGAAGACTCCAGCCAAGAGCCCTTTAAAAAGTCCAGCAAAGTCTTCTCAAAGAAGTCCTTCAAATCAATCTGATTGCTATTTAGAATAGGAATACATTAATGTAGCTATGTTACTCATCTATAGTTGATTGAGTACAAAATTCTGGGTTATTTTTGGTGAAAATAGGGTATCAGGCTTTGGGTCAGGAACGAAGTCCCCATTTATAACATTGTTTCCTATGGGAAAATCGGCTCTGAGTTGCAACGTTTTGACTTAAGGTATGGTTTTCAGGAACCAATTTTGTTGTTAATCTGAGGACTGCATGTATATGCATAATATGTAACAGCCACAACTATCTGTAAGTAACCTTATAGAAGGGCTTACTTTTCCAAGATAATCCCTTAGCTAAATTTTCTTTTTACCTTTGAAGATGATGTCTAACTCATAGGACCCATCATAGAAGGTACCTGAGAGACTTGGGCAGAGGATTGATTTGCGGGCTCTATGTCCAGGGAAATAGCAAAATGGGTTACAAATAGGATTGGACATGCATTGTGCGCAACCCCGGTTTTTTCTCTTTGGCTTGGATTGAAATGCCTATTGGTTGGACTAGATGGGGGACTTCTCAGTTTTATTTATACTGATGTTGCTGTGTACTCGAGCTGATCTGAGCAAGTCAGAGGGTCTGCTTTATTCTATTGAATTAAAAATTGTTAAGTGTGCTTAAAGCATTAAATGGGTGCTTTTCATTACAGTTGGTATAAATCTAACTGAAATGTTATATTGTTCGGTTTTTTTTAAACTTATGTATTGGGTCTTTCATCGTTGTGGCTAAGGGCTGCGAGCAGTAGTGGTGGCAATGATTGATTGGGACTGGAAACTCCCACTCTCACTACTGCCACTGCCAGAGGCCCGACATTTTCTGTGACTGGCAGCAGTGACAGAAACTCCCACAGCACTATCAGGGCTGCCACAGCACTGGCAGCACCTAGTGCTCTAGTAACCATGGCAGCAGTATCACGGTCTGCGCTGTTCAATTTCTTCATCAGCGATCTAGATGATGGGGTGGAAAGTAACCTGTTTAAATTTGCTGATGACACCAAAATTTGGGGGGAGGTGAGCACGCTAGCAGGGAGTGAGAGATTGCAGAAGGATCTGGATAGGTTACAGGGGTGGGCTAACAGGAACAGGATGCGTTTCAATACGGACAAGTGCAGGGTGCTGCACTTGGGCAGTAGGAACCAGCAGCACACTTACACAATGGGGAACTCCCTACTTGAGAGCACGGAGGCAGAAAGAGATCTTGGAGTCATTATTGACTCCAAGATGAACATGGGCCGACAATGCGAGGTCATGGTTGGCAGGGCTAACCGGACCTTGTCGTGCATCCACAGGTGCATCTCGAGTAGAGCCAAGGAGGTGATCCTCCCCCTCTACGCGACGCTGGTCAGGCCACAGCTGGAGTATTGTGTCCAGTTCTGTGCGCCCCATTTCAAGAGGGATGTGGACAACATGGAGAGGGTCCAGAGGAGGGCCACCCGCATGATCCGGGGACAACAGGGCAGACCCTACAGTGAGAGACTGCGGGACCTGAACCTATTCAGCCTCCACAAGAGAAGGCTGAGGGGGGACCTGGTGCCTGTCTATAAACTCACTAGGGGGGACCAGAAGGGTTTGGGGGAGACGCTGTTTCCCCTAGCGCCCGCTGGCATAACAAGGAGTAATGGGCACAAGTTGATGGAGAGGAGGTATAGATTGGACATCCGCAAAAACTACTTCACAGTCAGGGCGGCTAGGAGCTGGAACCAAGTTCCAAGGGAAGTGGTGCTGGCCCCTACCCTGGGGGTCTTTAAGAAGAGGCTGGATGCCTACCTGGCTGGACTCATTTGAGTCCTGTTTCTTGTTTTGGGGTTTTGTTGTTCTCCCGCCCTGGCGGGGAGTCGGGCTAGAAGATCTACTAGGTCCCTTCCGACCCTAAATCTATGAAACTATAGGGTCCCTACAGACCTTGAAGGGAGGGGGAGAGTGGACCACTTTGGGATAACGAGGGGCTGAGAGACCTGTATACATGTTACATTTGGTATTCAAAAGTTGTGCAACAAAAGTTATTGTCTGAAATGGCCGCTTCTTTGTGGTAGATCTGCAGGTTTTATGGCGCATTGGGCATTTTTTGTGGCACAGCAAATGTGTGGATGCTCACTTTTTGTCAAGCTAAAATGGCATGTGTAGCATGACAGCTGTGCTGTCTGTACTGGCACAGTGGCCCCAGTTTTCATCACTTTTTTTTCCTCAACGTCTTTGTTGAGACTATTATTGAGGGTGCCATCTGTGGAAGTGTGTTTGTGATGTAGATGCTTACTTTCTGGTAACAAGTCTAAGACTAGGAGCTATTTGCATCTGGCTTTAGATATTGATCGTGTTCCAAAAAACTATAATTGTGTAACTTCCAGGATTGATTACTGTACTTTGTATCTGGGTGTGAAAGGTGAATTTGGATTGGGGGAGAGATCACAAGAGGCAAGACAGAGTCAAAGAGTTAGGTAGAGATGAGATTTGAGAGAGTGGTGTGTATGGGCAGGAATTAATAGTCAGAAAAATAGGGGCATTAAATTTGCTGCCTAACAGTAGAGTAATATTTTGCCCTTAGCCCTTTACATCTGATGATCTCAAACATGTAATAAGCAAATATGTTAAACCTAACTACATCCCAGTGAAATAGGTAAATGCAATGTTCACTTTACAAATGGGGAAACTGAGGAACTGAGGTTGTACTGTCTGGAAGACTCTATCTGAACCTGGACTCCACTGTTTTAATAAAACTTTAACAGGAAGCTCGCATCAATTCTTAAACCCAGTCTTTTCATCAGTCAGCAACATTTGAGCACATCCCCTTTCTTCTCAGCCTCCAATTTATTCAGAATCGATTGAATAAGCACCTCAGATATTTTTAGAACTTATTATCTTGGTTTCCTGGGTGATGCTGCAGTGTCACCACTTTCTGTTCCTGAGCACTCAGCTAAAATTCCATCACAGTTGAATATGGTAACATGAAATTATTGGGATTTACTTGGGCAGCTGCCTTTTCATATTTATTTGGGCACTGGTGTAATGTGGAATTTGGGCATGCTTTAAGAATCCTGTTTCAACTGATAGTAGATCAGGCATGAAGATGGTGTTGAGTTTGTTGTGATTTATAGTTCTGTATTTCATACTTTTAGTGTTCAGTCACAAAACTTTCTTAAACATGAAATTGTTCCTAACAGGGTTAAGTAATTCCTCTCAAACTTGACTTGGAAATTAAGATTATGTTTTTCAATAACTGTTTAAATGCATTGCATCGGTTAAACATATGTGGTCGTGCAGAAAATTCCCTTGTTTCTGTAAGTATAGGTTCTTGAGGGTGAAAATCTTATTTTCTGCTTTGTTTTTTAGCATGTTTTAACAGAAAGACTGACATTAAAAAATCTATATAAAACCCTAACAATGTTTTGATTATTTTTACTTCCGATTGCAAATGTTTGGAGTTTTTGTCTGTGTCCTAATATTTCTCCCCCTTCCCCCCTTTTTCTTAATACAGAAATTTGAAAGAAGTGGAAAATCAAGTAAGGTAAACCTTGGTAAGTAAACAGATTATTCATCTAGATCTGTGCAGATCCAGTTCTCAGATTTGTGTATCTTGTTTTTTGTCTGTGTTGTTACTGTGCAATGCATATTGCTTTTGTACTTGTGGATGCCCTCTTAGTATAATCAAGGTACAGTTATGTTTAGATGATGAGGGCCTATGTAAATCACCTTTTAATACTTAACAGTATTGTTAGTTAACTGATAAGCCCTGAATCTTTAATAATTGTTGATAATATATGAGCTTGAAATAAATCAGCTAGATATAGTAAGAAAAATCCATTCTTTTTTAATAACCTGAGTGCTTCTGGTATGAAAGTTCACAGACAATATTATTAGCACTCTACAGTGGCTTTTTTACCAAGTCACTTAATAGAAAGTCACTGCTGAAAAGACTTAACATGAAACTACAAAGCATCACTCTCATAAGTCCTAGTGGTGCCGTAGATTTGTAGTAACCCAGGTGCATGCGTTTTAAGCAGATAAACAGTCAATAGAATGCTAAATAGAAAAATCTTTACTGAATATGCACTGAGAGACAATTAGACAGTTAAAAACTCTAAAGGCATCCATTCCAAAAAATACTGAAAATGCTGAGCCCATTGTCAACACAGAAAGACTTCACCTCAGAAGTGCATAAATACAATGAAATCATACTTCACTACCCTACTTTTATCTCGTCTCTTAGAGGAAATAATAGGGTAAAGAGTAGGTTTTTTCACTGTGAACTGTATATTCTCATACAGATTGTCCTTTTGGCTTTTGTGGCAGGAACAAGTAAAGTTAATCCTTGAAGTTGTGATACACTTTTTCTAGCAATGTTTTCTATTGTTCACGCATTGCTGGAAAATAATTTTTGAATTAACAAAGGATGTTTTAATACTTGCAAAAACTATTCATTTACATATCATTCTTAATTTGCTGATTTGTAGTAAAGTTCAGGAAAGTGTGCGTTGTAGTATATTATCTTTTATGTATGCATAATCTATAGTGCAAGTTATGATCAGCATATTAGAGTTTACAAAAAATAGAAAAAATACACGTGTGACGAAATGAATGTTTTATTGGCAAAATATAGAGAGGTCTTATGCTTAACTGAATGGTATTTCTTTATTGTTTGCTGCTGGAATAGAGATTCTACCATAGGTACCAGTATGGAGAAAAATGACTTATTATCCCTTCAATCATCTGTCCTTTGACTTCCAGAGTTTGGCCGCAAAATGCAGCCCTGCGATAAAGGCTAGTACTATCTTTGTCATAGTGGGGCAGTTCAGGTTTGAATTCTCTTGGTCTGATTTGATGGTGATCACATCTAGAATTAGAAGAATCAAAGAAAATCAGTGTTGATCATTTCAGACTCTTCTGAATCATGAAAACTGAGGTCTGCATGTATTGAAAAGATTACCAGGACTGATTGTCTATTTTCCCAAGTTCTGAATGGAAATAAGCCCCCTCTGACATCAAAGCTTCATAACAGGAAAGTCATCCCATGGATAGCTTCTGCCCTACATTATTTGTTGAAATCCTTAATTGTACCAGCAGAGTTCTTGTATTTTTCTGACGTTGAGCCATTTGGCACAGATGCCACAGGTAACAGTAGAAATTGGAGGTGCACCGATACATTGGTCTGATATCGGATTGGTACTGATATAAAGAAAATTGTCTATATTGGATATTGGCCCTACAGGGCTGATAAATGCCCGTGTTGCATGCAGCTACAGCGCGACATGGAGCAGAGCTGGCAGCAGGGAGAGCTGCCTCCAGCTGGTAAGTGGGAAGGGGAGGTGGGAGGGAAGAGGGCGTGGGGAAGGGGCAGATCAATTCCACCCGCAGTGAGGGAGGGGGCAGGGGCAGGCACAGGCACTGCCCAGGTGGGGAGGGCTTGTGGGAGGAGGCACGGCTCATGGGGCGGGGGCAGTTCCCGCTGCTGCTTGCACCCCAGGAGGTTGGGGAGTGGTGGGGGGGTGCCTGTCAGATCTGCATGGCAAGTAGGGACTGTAAGAAGAATGCCTGACTCAGATTCAGAGCTAAATT